AAAAGAAAAAAAGAAATAAATTGCACTTATTACAAATAAAAGAGGAAACATTAAAAATTTCCTATAAAAAATAAACTTTTCAAAATGTTATGCTTAACAAAAAGAAAAAAAAAAAACGATTAAAAGAAGTGATTTATTTTTCTATGAACGTCTATAATTATAAAATTTACCAAACTAAGTCATTAAATTAAACATTGTTGTTCCGAAAATGAACAATAATTACTATCTCCATGTAATCATTAATTATATTGCAAGAAATATCTATTTGGACTATTAAATGATTATACTCAAAACTGCAAACAAGTTTATTAGTTGGTTTTCGCCCCTCTTTTTTGCCTTATTTTAATTAATATATAAAGAATAATGAAACAAGCTCTTTTTTAAATATTTCGGGTATAAAAAAAAGAAGCAAACAGAATTTAAATCGAATGTGATAGATTTGCCAAGCAAATTTTGAAAATATCTCAAACTTCAATAATTTCATAATAAGCAATAAACAAATGATCCTTGAAAAAAGAATTCACTTCAAATAAATCAATAATAACTTGTTCTCAACACAACTGCTAAAAGTTTGAAAAAAAAAAAATAATAAAATGGCAACTTATGCATTGCAGTCAAATTATGCGTTATCATTTTTTTTTTCTTTTTTTAAATAACATTTGATTCATTTGATGATATAAAACAAAGAAATGTCATATTTTTTATCTTTTACATTGTGTCAAAGATTTTAAGTTAAAAATGCAAAAAACTTAGATGGAATAAACGAAGTTTTTTAAATTTGAGAAGTGTTTGGTTGAATTTAACATTTTTACCATGTAACTATGCATTTGATTTCCTATTAAACAGTAAATGAGCAAAGTGCTAGAAGATGCTTTGTATGTAAATGCAATTGGTGGACTGAATATTAAACGATCATTCAGGTAATTGTTATAATATAAAGAACTGTAATGATACCTGGATGATATCAGGGATGTGATAAGATTCATCAATAGTTATCCTAATATTATCATATATCTATATCGGCTGAAATTATTTCATTTTAAGTGGTTCTAAACGTTGCTATGAATTTATAACATTTCTTAGTTAATTTGAAATATGAATATTCAACATTTTAGTTCTGCTATGATTATAAAAATTTATTTGCCTTTAAAATTTCAAAATATATCTTACTAAGTGGTAATTACTTCATAACAGAACTAGTTTTTCTTTAAATAATTTCTCATTTGTGAAGTATTTACAATATGTAATGAGAAATAAATTATTTAGAAGAAACAATATGAGTATAGATGTAAACTTTTTCCCCTCTTTTATACGTATGCTAAATTATCATATCATGAAGCTAAAAGCAGATTTGTCAAAAATTGAAATATGTTGTATATAGATGTTGTTTATCTAAAATATAGCGTTATTTTAAGAACACTGAAATGACAAGAAAATGGTTATTAAAATTATTATGTTACCGCTTATAATATCTGGCTAATAATTCATAAACCTGTATCCTGTACAATTATCAAATATGGATTTAAAATATGGAAATAATATTAATCATTTTCCTATGAAAAAAAAAATTAAAAATGTTCAATAAAAATTTTCAAAAATTCACTTCAGTGATTTTTTTTTTTTTTTTAAAAAAAAAGTGAATTGAAGAATTATTATAGAAAAAAATTCCTCAGAACGTCATTTATATGTTTTACTTTAAAGAAAGTTTTATTTGTGAAAGAAATTCTTAAATAAAATCATTACATCGAGAAAAAAAAGAAGTTCGTTCCTTTTTATCCAATTAACTGTGCATCGCTAGCGGTCATAAAATGGATATGCATGTCTACTTTTATATTTACCTAAAATTAGTTTGATATTATATATTAGTAATTCAGAGCTATCTAACAACTGTTGTCTAATTAACAAATAATTTGATAGCTAAATTATTTCCATGCTTTTGTTTCAATAATAAAACCATGCTCATAGATAGCATTGTATTACAAATAATTTGTTTCATAAAAAATTATTGTGATGAATTTGCTGAATAGAAAAGACCAGTCGTATTTGTACAAAGTTAAAAAAAAAAAAAAGTCAAAATTCATTACAATTGTGTAATAATATTTAAGTGAAAATTTTTTCTATCTAGCTCTTTACTTTTATATGTAAGTAATCTTCCGTATGAAAATCTTTACATATATTTCCGGAATAATAAACTTACACAAATAAAAAAGCTCAAATTCTGTGGCATTTATAAAGTTAATAAAAAATAAAAATGTTTGCAAATATGTAACAAGTTTCAGATGCATTGAATAAATAACAAGTGCCAAAATGGATTCTATATTTGAATCGAACACACCTTGGATATTTCATTAAGCTATTCGGATAGCTACATTTTGAATTCTGCCTTCCTTCTTATCTCATTTTGTTCAGTCATTCTTTACGCATGCATCCATTCACCATCATAGTTATTTTATTCTTTTCTGCTAGCTATTATATGCAAGCTTGTGCGCGAATTTCAGGTATGCGAATTTCAGGTTGCATTCCTCTTTAAACATAAATTAAAAAAAAAAAATCTTCCCGTGGAATTATCAAATAATGAAAGATAAGATAAAAAGCTTCAGTATTTGTTCAAAAAATTATTAACGAAGGAAAATTATTTTACAGTAAATTAAGCTAGCAATGTATGTGATAAATAAATGATATTGAAAGCACTTAAATCTTGTATTTAAATCAAATTATTTTGTCGTTCTCGCAAAACATAGTATTCTACGTTTTTTTTTTTTTTTTTTTTTAATATCAGGTGATATCAAGATACAAATTAGTAAGAAGTTGAAAAAAAAAAAGCTTAAAAAATTGGTGTAATTAAAGCTAAAATAGTCATTGTTTTTGAAAATTAAAAACTGATTTTTTTGCCTGATCCTAATAAAAACTAATTAAAAAATGAAACTAATAAAAAACGAAAACTAAAAAATTAAAAAAGTAAGTAAAATTTTTTTTTAAAAAAAAAGTTAGGAAATGAGGAAAATGATTTATATAGTCTTCTTGCTGCCTTTTCTGTTTTTGTTGACACACACAAAAATTATAAAACAAACAAACTGTTTCAAAGCAATGCAATCTAAATTTTAGCTTCTTGAGTGATAAATTTCGCTGAATGAACTTGACTTTGACTTTGTATCTAGGGTTATTTCAGACAGAAAAAATTTTATCGTAGTTGTGCTCTCAGTACGATGACACCTTTACTTCCACTTTTTGTATGAATAAAATTTGTAGATAGATTGGACTACAGCGATATCAGTTTGCATGGGAAACGATCAGATGAAGAAAGTAAAGCAATTCATTTCATACGATCACATTTGGGTATTATGCGATTTGGTAAACGTAATGAAGCGCAATTTGATACTACACATATCGATAACCGAATTGATTTGGATCACATAATGCGTCAAAATGATAAAAGCAGTATCATTAACAACAGTAATGATTACAGTAATTCTTATGTTAAAGCAACCTTATTTGATTATATTAATTAATCTTTTGATGCTAAAATCAAGTAAGAGAAATAATAACATTGTACGCGAATAAAGATCGGAAATTATAAATAACTTAAATTTATCGTAATAAAATATTTCATTTGTTTGGCGTCAAAATAGATCTGTATTATATAACTAAATTGATTACATTGCATACATAATTAAATGATCTTTAATTTGTCAAATTATTTAATTAAATTTTAATTATTAATTAAATTCTTACAATTTCTTTTTTCAATTTATCAAATATTTCTTACATAAAAATTATAAGCTTGAAAGTAATTACAAAAAAAAAAGATTTCACTCATAAATTTTAGTAAAAAAAAGTATCCTAAATTTATAATTCTCATAAAAGCAATGCAATAATATATTTTTATCAAAAGTATAATCAATTGAGTGTTAACTTGCATATTTGCCGCAACTTTTTTTTGACAAATTTCACTTGGTACTATTGATTTCACCTAAATTCTAATAATATTCTAATATGAAATTTCATCCATTCCATGAGTATACTATCAATATTTTTCAAAGATATATTTTTTATGCTACATTTATATATACATATATATAGTTTAAACTTACTTTATTTTGCTTATTTAACGTATTCTTTTAAAAGACACTTAGCATTATAAATTGACTCTGTCCGCATGATTTCATTTATAGGAGAGTAGCAACGGAAACATGAAGTAAAAACGTTTTTACCCTATCTTATGAAGAAAGTACAATGGTACAGGAATGATATTTCCATTTTCATTAAATTCAATATTAAATTTGTTATTATAACAAATATTCGAAGAATATCCTAATGTCTAATCATCGCTTTCATTTATCATCCTAATGACTTTCTTCCCTGTTATTTTTCTATTCCTGATTTCCTTTAATAAATGATGACCTTTGCTAACATAAAACATTCTTTATTCGTCTAAAATAATCTAAAATTAAATGAATTTTAGATTATTGCTTATTACTTATTGATAATTGTATTACTACAGCTTCAAAACCTCAACTCAACATATACATTTTTCATGCTTGCAGGATCGTTAAGAAAGATTTTAATTGCGAATCTGTGATGAAATAACGAATCGAAACCATAGTTCTGTCATCATTACTATTATTTATAATGCTATCATTACTGTTATTATTTATTGCTGCTATCAATTTATTATCTTCATCACCATTGTTATTTATTTATTATTATTTATCATTTTTATTAACAACTGATATTTATTATTATTAATTATTATTATTATTGTTACTATTGTTATTATTACTTACATTGTCGTTTGTTATTATTAATTATCATTAGTAATAGTTATTATTTTTATATTTTCCTATTTTGATTGTTATAATGACGCAGGATATCTAAGATTTTTTCTGAATCTTTATGCATTGCATGTCTTTGTAATCCTTCTTCGGTAAGCGTTAACTTGACTAAGTTGAGTAAGTTGTGTTTCAGTTATAAGTTTAGGAAATTATTCTCCAGCCTTACTCTCAGATCTGAATAACGAAACACTAAATGCAATTAGATCAGATTATTATAACAGATTATATACAAAATAGTTAACAACTAATTAGTACAGTTAATAAATTATAGAGCAAAATAAGAGATCTCAAATTTGAGCAGTATTTGTAAAGTATTTGAAAATTTGAAAAAAAATTTAATAATATCAACCTTTCGGATGATATTTTCCTCTTCCAAATCTGCTATGCCCACTTCGCTGGCCAAAAAAATGTGCTCATCCTTAGTGATACAGAAACGAGCTGGTCTTAGACCATTTCGATCCAGAATTGCTCCAACATAACGTCCATCCGAAAATGTCATTAACGCTACAATGTTTTTTTCTTACTAAAATATCAATGAATCAAAAATAACCAATGAAGAGTTATTTTTATTTTTTCATTAAATTTAGCATACAAAATGATTATAAACTAATACAATCTTTTAAATATGGAAAATATACCTGGTCCATCCCATGGCTCCATTAACATTGCAGCCCATCTGTAGAATGCTCGTCTTTCGGAAGCCAGTTCCTAATCAAAGATAGTTAATTAAAATTTGCTTTCATTTAACTCTAATTAATTGTAATCCCAATTTCTACTTTGTGTTGACTTGTATATCTGAAAATCTAATCTTAATATAGATTCTTCAAGAGAAAAATTAATATTATTATGGTTTTGAACTATTTTAATATGAGATATGCTTTTGTTCAAGTGCATTTGACAAAAAAATCTAAATTAGTAGCAGACTGAGCAAAATTGTTTAGGGCCAAAACAATTTGTTTAGACGAAGAGCAGTTTTTAACAGCAATTTTTTGACAGTTAATTTTTAGTGAGAACGAAGATGATTTAAAATATCTATTTTTATACAATTGTTATCATTAGATAACTTATCAAAACAGAAAATTATGGAACATTAAATATCTTTTAATTCCGCGATTCCTAATCCAGAATTTATCGAAATCTGCTCTACTCGATATTGAAGTATTTACAGTGACATTGCGTAGTATCTTAGGGACTGTCACTAAGGCTATTTTACAATGTGCACTCTGATCATTTTAAAGAAATTGGAACATAAAAGGAAATAAAAAGTTGAACAGTTCAATTTCCTCTTTATAAATCTTAAAAACTTTTCCTTGCTCAAACCAAAAAATAAAGCGAATTAGTAGTAGTAATTCTAGCTATTTATCTCACTTCAAAACTACCTCGTCATTTTCCCAAGCTTCTGGAACCATTGTCATTGCTGCTTCTGGCAAGGAACGATTACCAGCTTTCACCAAAAATTCTAACACATTGTCAAAACACCCCGAATCTGACATATCACGTTCGACCACCGGATATCTAAAACATTGAAAGTATTAGGAACAAAAATTTTTTTGACAGAGATTTTAAAAAAACCTCGCAAAATCCTTACTTAATTTAATGTAGCACTTATATAACTCATCTTTCACATATTTATCAAAAAAAAAAAAAAGGAATTACAGTTTCTGAAGATTATTGCCATATGCGTGACTTCTCATAGTGCCTTCACGTGCATGCATAAAATTGACATTTCCACGTAGAGTATTAATTTCACCGTTATGAGCAACCATCCTGTACTTTTAAAAATATATCACTGAGAAGCAAAATTTACAAATTATAATAACTAAATGAATTTATGATATTATCAGCTTGAATTTTATGATCTGTTTGAATGTAATATGATTCGAAACGTGTTTTAAATATTATTTTGGAAAAATTTTAAATGTTAGCAATAAAGGACACTAATTTCGATTATTACGAAAGAGTTGCCCATAATAGAAGAAATTCTTGGGAATCAGTAAACGATTGTACTCATCTTTTATTTTTATTCTGAACATTATGAATATTAACCGATATGGTTGTGCTCTACACCATGATGGAAATGTATTGGTTGAAAAACGACTATGAACCATTGCCATATGTGATACATATTCCGGATTTGTTAAATCAGAATAATATTCATAGAGCTGATTCGGTGTAAATTGTCCCTAAAATTCTGATAAAAGGAAAGAAGCATATTAATCACTGCAGCGTGCTTGGTTATCATTTTTGTATATTTCTGGTCACTCGTATCTCAAATATTACTGAATTCAGATTACACAGAATTTTGTTAGAATAGAAGAGAACAAGAAATTTTCGTGATTTATCACAAAATGTTTGGAACCATTCACATAAATAAAACATTGATCTCTGACTAACCTTATAAACAATTGTTGAAGTGCTGAGAGACACAACATAACACTCAATTTTTTGTTTAGCTAATTGTACTACAGCTTGTTTTCGCAACACATAAAGATTTCGCTGAAACAGTTCCGTATCGGTAGCAGCATACGGTGCTGTAACAAATACCTAAAATCAAGAACAATTGTTTAATAATTTGTAACCTGAAAATGAAAAGTAAAATTTTAGAAGGAAAATTTACCAATACTTTAAAAAAAGCAAATATATTCAACAATCTACGAGAAAAGAAGATGATAGAAAATGGTAATCGCACCTGCCGTATGCATGGCTCTGTTTTACGTGCTTCAGCTCCAATTTTTCCTGAATTTGTTTGTAATTTGCGCCAAGTAATTACTTTTAAATTGCAGCCTTTAGCCAAATCTGTGAATGCTTCAATAGCTTGTTCGTATGAGTCATTCTTGAGAAAGAGCAAACCTGTCGCATATTCACCAATTGGAGGTAATTCGATTCCTTCGTCATTACTACAATGGAATTTTGAAACATCGTAGTAAAAGATTAATATAAATCAGAATTATCACCACATATCACCTATTCGATAAACACACTTTGCATTAAATGCTAATTGGAAAGACTCAAAATTTAAAACAAAAGGTGAAATTATGATATTTAGCCACTTTCTGAGATCATTCCGGTACAACATATCCGGTATAGCAGTCATTACGCCTGCACCATCACCGGAATCGTTATCACAAGCGCAAGCTCCACGATGTGCCAAACGTTGAAGCATCGTTCGTCCATCGCATAAAATCTGGGAAATGTGAAACAATTCGTTCAAAATTTGTTCCTAAGCTACAATAATTAAAATTGGACAATTACTTGATTGTAATTTTGGGTGATTTTAAATTTGAATTAAAAATATTTCTTCTGCTACTGACAACAAGGGGAAAGAAAAATTGAAACAGAAGCTTATTTGAAATTTAAATTGAAAAAAATTTAGAAAAATTAGTTTTACTCGATGAGTAGCGATACCGCGTATTGATGCCACAAAGCCAACTCCACATGATTCTTTTTCTAAATGCGGAATATAAAGGCCATCACTTTTTACTTTTTCCAATTGTTCGATGCTTAGTAGAACCATAATTTTTTTAATTAAAGTATCTATAAAAAATCGCCAATGATTGTATTTAACGAAGATAATTCATTATTTTGTCCGAAAATATCGATGAACTGATAAACAAAATGCTATAACTGCTTGTAGGTTTTCACTTGTTTATTATTTAAATCTTTAAGAATATTGCGAACTGTTAATTACATTAAAGCTACCAAATTTCAAATTTCATCAAATTTCAAAATGGTATGCAAAAAAAGATTCTTTTAGCATTTTCACCCAACTTTTATTACATTTAATTCATCATAATCCTCATTGAGTTTTCAACATTCTTGCAAACTTTTTTGGCACTAATTTGTACTGAAATATTCATTAGTTTTAAAGTAGAATTGAAATTCTTATAAATTTTAATCGAAGTTTAGAATATTCAAATTTTGAAGCAATGAAGTACGATGACTATATTCTTCCTTTTATGTAATTGATGTAATAAACAAGCTTTAGATTACATGTTACTTCCTAAAACTCTTTCTAATTTTCAGTTGACTAAAAACATAAAAGATATCAAAACATAGTAATAGCGACGAATTAAAAATAATTTTTTTCTTTCTCTCATTAGGTACTTCTCATGTTATATATTCCGGAAATTTTCAGAAATTGATCTTATTAAGCTCAAATTGAAATGAGAATTTGCGCTTAACTAAAATTTGCAATTCTATGGCTCCATAACATTTACTTTTTTTTTCAAATTTCGTTCTCACTTTTTAGCTTGAATTGCTTTAATGAAAGTTAGGCATATTTATGTTAAAGTTGTGAAATTTCGAGAACTGCTAGCATGTAAAACTGAAAATTCGAGAAATCTTGGTGAATGTTAAACGTATGTATAAGAGAGGAAATTATTTTGTTATTAGCAAGAAAAAGCTTCCTGAATAAGCATTATGAAGGTTTAATATATTAAAAAGCTTTCCAATTACTCGTTAATTCATTTCTCTCACACCATCTTAAAATGGAAATATATGAAAATGAAAAAAAAAAAAATTAATATGAAAATCTTTTTTATAGTTTCACTTTTGCTTAAAATAGCACGAAAGTTCATTGATCTAAGCTAAAATGATGAAGCAAAACACATAGCAAAATAAATTCAACGATAATGACTTATAAAGAATCAAAACATTAGCACACAAGTTTTGAATTATATTAGACGTCATTTAAAATATTTGAATTATTGAAATATTTAGAAAAATTGCTTATTGCAGTAATATGAACGATAACTGAAATGTTTATTTTCTTTGCGGTATATCTTTTTTTTTTTAGGATTGCTGTGCAAACTGCATAGTAAAACCTGAATAACTGCAAGAGTAGATCAGCTGGTAGTATAATAAATAAATATAAAGTGCATTCATCTGATAAGTGTGAGAAATTCGCAGTTTTAAGTGAAAAATGATAAACACAACAAACCATATAGCTGCCAGAATTTCCACTTTCATGATAGTGATTCTGTTGCCACACAAAAGTTATAGCACAGTGATTCCATGGTATATGCGAATTTTATGAATGTCTACGGATATTCATCAACTGCTGATGTCATAATTGTAATTGCGAGAGAATGACTGTTTTTTATTCAATTTCCAAGGAAAATTAATGTTGCTAATCTACACAGTCATTATTTAGAAATTTTTTTTTTTTTAATTTATAGTTTACTAGTTAAAAAAAAAAAGCATTTCAATATTTTTATTTTCAATGGAAGTTAATAATTAAGTAATCATTGTCTGATTAAATTAATATTTTTCTATTTGTGTATTTATCAATAAGCAATTTGTGAACATTTCTTTGTTATGTGGTCAAAATTTCAGTTGAAATTAATTGTCTACAAATTATTTATTACCTACATCTATAAATTTTTAAAATTTTATATTTCATGTTCAGTTCAAGTTTCTTTTCCATCTAACCATCCTGGAAGTATGTGTTACATATAATTTCTTTTGTGACGTCCACTGGTATCAAATAAAAAATTCAATGTACTTCTTTATCGAACAAATAATTAAAATAACCTATTTTTTTCTTTCAATATATCCATAAACATATAGTGGTAAAAATAAACTGAAAAAGCAAATTTTAAAGGAAAAAAATGAATGAAATAACTTTAGGTGAGTAAAGCATTTATTAATTTTTTTCAAATCTGTAACCGTTGAATATAACTTTGAAATAAATATAAAGCGCATTCTATTACATCATTTTATCGTTTGTAGTAAACAAAAAGTTTTTGTTTTCCCTTGAAAATGCTGCAAAAATACAAACTAATATACCTTTCAAAAAAGAAAAAAAAAAGCTTTATTATTTGATGGCTCTCTAATCTAAATTTATGAAAAAAGAAAAAATGATGACTGGATCAGAACATAAAATCGAGAGGTGTGAATATGTCACAGACAAATCTTCCAGTGACTAAATGATAGTTTATGCTTTTTCATATTATTTTGCTTTTATGAAATATTATTAACTGATATAAGTTTGGAAGAAGAAAAAAAAGCATCTCGAAGATAAAAGGAAAGGAAAGAAAATTAAAATACATGCAATTAAAAAGCTTCATTTTGAACTGAAATATATTTACTTTGCCACTTATTCCCTTATAACATGTTTACTTAATTTAGAAAACTTGGGATGTCTGAGTTTGATGCATCTAGAGACTAGAATAACTTGGTCTAATTGTAATACAATCAACATTTATTAAACAATCGTGAGAAAGTTATAAGAAAAAATGAAATAAATTTTTGTTAGCAAGAAATGATATGATGAAATGTTAAGAATTATGTTTGTTATTCGAATAATTCATTGAAGTGTTTATCCAATCTTTTTCGTTTTTCCTTTTTTGGTGCTTTATTTTCATTTGGAATTTTACTTTTTCTTTCTTATTTTTGAAAATTTTATTTAAAAAAATGGTGCAAATATTATAACACATGCCAAGTAAAGTTAATCAAAAATAAGTATTAATTACAATTGATCATTTGTTCATCAAATAAAATTGCCTATTCAAACGAATTACTAAATAATTCTCAGCAATATTTATCCTTGTATAATCGTAACATATTACCAAGAAAAAGAACTTTATATATATCTTATTTGTTGAAAAGAATCTTTTTTACTTTTAGTTTTCTGGTTGGATTATTACGAAGAGCAAATTATTTCACTGTGTCATTACCAAGAATTTTTATATTTCTAATATATTACTACTATCAAATCACACAATTTTCTTCGTGTATTTTAAACTTAAATATTCCAAGTTTGAACATTTAAATATAAAATTCATAATATGTAAATTGCAAAATGTTGCATACGTAATTTTGATAGACTTAGATAGCTTAGTTATTGAGAAACTAAGATATATACATGTGTGAGAGAGTATCATAAGATGAAGAAAGTATTTAAAAAAGTATCACTGCAATCTGTGCAATGCATTTCTATGCCAAAAAAAGTAGCTTTTGTTAAATATTGTCATATTACGTCAAGCATAGTCCACTAAATGCATGATTGAGGTTATCAGTTTGACCGAAAACAAAAAGTTAATGGAACCTGTCAATATTATTATCTGAAGGTTGAAGCATGAACATTCTTACAGAGTATAAATGTGTGAATGTTCCATTCATCCTCATTCTTATTTCAAATTTATTAGAAGTGTTTTAATGAGATGAGATTACTATCCTGACTAAGAAAAAAACTGACTAAAAGCTTCGGACTAGGAATTCAAAATATTTGAAATGCGAGTGATTTGTTGAATTTTATTGTATTAGAATTTATCTCATTCCGGAAATGATACGGAGAAAGAAAAAGGTGCTTGCAAAGAATCAAGAAATATGAAAATCTAGAAATTTTACATTATCTCAGTAAAAAAAGAACTTTCGAAGCCGAGGAAAACTTTGATTTTAATGATAATAACGACAATTAAGTAACTGATGTTAGTTTTTTTTTTTTTTTTCGGTATCAATTTAAATGTTTCATATTTAGAGAAAGTAGTGTAATAAAAATCGTAAAGAATTAGTTTTAGAATTTTGAAATTTTCTAAAAATTAGTAGCTGAAAGAGAAAAAATAATAAAAAAGCAATGAGATAGAGGGAGAAATGGCTCAATTGGAATGCAATCCGGGTGAAATGCTTGAGTGGCCTTTGCACAAAATGAAAATTTGGAAAAGCGTACCCAGTGGATTTTTCAGCAAATGTATTGCAGTTTATATAGCAAGAACGATTGTTTACCATCTACTGACGATAAAAAATCATCTTTAAAATTTAAAACCAAACTTCAGTTTGTGATATAGCTGTAACTAAATTTTATTCCTATTTCGAAAAAAAAAAAAAAAAGAAAAAGAAAAATGTAGTTTGACAAGATGAATAATTTCTATTCTATAAATGATTAAAGTTGACGAATAAAGTAAATAATACAAAAATTACTGGAAAAATTGAAGCCAAGGACATGAAAGAATTGGTACATTATTCTATTTATATATTTTTGAATTGAAAATCAATTTCATCAAACAAATTTGATGATCAATATTCCAAATGATTAGTAAAATTAACATTTCGGGTTCAAGATTCACTTAACTGGTAAAAGAAAATGCTCCATTGATTCACATAAAAGAATTGGTACATTACTTTATTATTACTTTTGTAGTGTTCAAACTGTAAAAAGTTCTGTTGAGTGGCAACAACAAGTAGCATACATTGCATGCCAAAAAAAAAAACGATGCCAAATTTCAGGTACACTTTTTTACGACATCCCAAGCAAACATTACGGAGTTATCTGGTTTGGAAATAGGAAAAACAACTTTTTTTTGAAATAAATAAAAGGCTTAAACTACGTTGGAATGTGTCGCTATAGAATGAGAAAGAAGCAGAATGTCCCATGTCCAATACCTAATCTATCTCTTGCTTTTAATATCGATTTCATGCTTCCTTGCTTCAGCTTGTTCTCCAACAAAAAAAAAAAAAAAGAACTCAAAATGCTGCGAGAAGAATGTGATAGTGAGAGAAGGTTCAAGTAAATTT